GATCTAGAGATATGACTTTATTTGTCTTGTTTGTTACGATAACACATTAGTTTGTTCTGAATCCTAATTTTATGTAAATTTATTGAGTAATTTTTGATGTCAATACATTAGAAGAAACCTTAAATAGTATTTGTATATTAAGATTTCCCAGTTGGAAAGAAACAAAAACTTATCAAGTTTTTTGTTGCTACTGCTAAAAAAAAAAATGCTTCAAAAAAGATTTTTAGGATTATATTTCAGACAGTTCATTCAAATGATACATTGATAAATCATTAATTCATTATAGTTGAATGAAATGCAATTTTTGCACACGTTTAAATCAAAACCCTATATCTGCCCATTTTTCCACATTCCAGTTTTGGACTTCATGCTTGTTTCGATGTGATGGGTCACATATATACAGTGGAAGTAATGTCCATTAACACATCATAAAATTAATGCAAATGCTAAACTGCTCTGCAAAACAATAGTTCTGCCATTAGCAGATGGGTGGAACTGTGTCAAGTGTCGAYTTAAACATGTATTGGTGACTGCATGATTGTGAGGCAAACAGACCAATGAGACATAAAATGCACACGAATCATTTGAGGTCATTTTTATTCTCATTAAGAAAAAATGGTGTCAAATCGACTTATTAATTTAGAACAAGTCACAGGTGCTTTTTAAGGACAACAAAGTGTAGATAATGACACGTGCCAATAAAGAGCTGCATAAAGTTGTGCATATATGAGGGACAATGGCAGCTTTGACATCGTCAATTGATGAGTTTTTCAGGGATCGCACAGACACACTCACACATGATGATGCCTGGATTAATAGCTGGTTTAAAGTGCCCAGGGCACTGATGTGGTCCCATCGTTAGAGGGAATTTCATCACTGTATACAAACAATGATGACACACACAGCGTCACTTCTCTTTGCATATGGCACAAATGCTAAAAAGCTGTTAGTCAGATATACTTGTATGCCCCACTACCTTATTTGAGAGTGTCTGACTCATTCCATTAAGTTCCTCATTTTCCTGCATTGTGACATCTTTTTATATCATGCAGAGAGTCAAACATGCAGTCCATACTGTGTTTGCATATTTAAATGGAAGTGTGCCAGTGAAGGAGTTAAATGTGTGCTCAGTTCCACGTTTATTGGATTTGTAGGAAAGCTGGGATAAATTTAAATACTTTTATGCACACATTTTGTTCCCACACCAACTTTCAGTATGAARGCTGCAGACTCCGATACATGAGGCCTCTATTTTTACAAGGACATGTACACATTTTGAATGCACTGTACCTTCAATATGATACCCCTTTTGCTTCAAATAAGTATAGGGCCCGAGGGACAATAGCTTGATTTTTCCCCTGTTTTTGCCTATTTAATCACTTAAATGTGTCAAATCAAACAAATAATTGTAGACAGTGATAACCCGAGGAAACAAAATGCTGTTTTTAAATGATCCACGGTTCAAACTAAGCTGGCCCTTTGGGAGAAATTAATCACCACCAAAACCTCACAACGTTTTACTCACAACCTTCTTATCTGAACATTGTTTAATCATTTATGAGTTCATGTTGAGTTTATTTAAATTGTGTACTTTGAAACAGGCATCTAAAAAAGTTTAAAGAAAATTGCACTTTATTAACATGGAAGAAYTGGGCGGGGGTAGCATCCCAAACTTATTAGAATAATGTGACAAAGTACTAACAGACACCTTTGGGGACCACCCATGGGKTTTTTTTAAGTTAATGCACCATAAGCTGACTCTTGTAGGATTTAAATATTCGGTGTGCATTAGTGATTTTGAAAGCGCCTCGTATGCGAGTATAAATTGTATCTTTTTACCTGAAGATCTTGCAGAGCCACAGCGTGGTGTCAGAAAGAATCCGAGTTGTCAGTTTCCTGAGCCGCTCTCTGTCCAACACGGAGATGTAAGCTGCCAGGCTGTGACCCAGCAACGCCATGTGACCCTGTTCACCAACATTCTGCATCCTACTGGAAACACAGTGGCAGTGACATTTAAATAAACTGCATACCGAGTGATGTGTACTTCCACTCTTTCAGTGTATAATACAGAGTCTTGTTCTTTCTGGCATGATCCATACCTCATGACCATAAGACATGAAAGACATWGGAATGGAACATAGACAGATGTTGAGTTTTGCCTTTTGACTCAACTCTTTCTTCGCCACGACTGACTGAAACAAAGCTCTTACTACTGCAGAAGAGGCCCCAATCTGTTGACCCACCTTCCTCTCCATACTACCTTCAGCCGTGAACAAGACTCTCAGATACATGAACTTGTCTGAGGCATATTTCTGGTTGAGAACCATGGCCTTGGACTTAGAGAAGCTGATTCTCATCCCATTCAGTGGTCATAGCCTTAAGACATTAACAGAATCATAACTTGTGAAAAAAGACAAGACCCTGAGGTTCCTAAACCAGACACCATCCACTCCCCAACTRTGTCTTGAGATGCTGTTTATGAACACCACAAACAGGGATCAGAGAAGGCAGCCCGGTAGTCCCACCTGCACCAAGTATGAGCTTAGCTTTCTGCAAAGGAAAGAGAACACAGCTCCTAACCTTCTCCAGGCCCACAACACACACTGAAGAGTTAAACTCCCTCAACCCCTTTAGTAACACTACAAGGGTGGTTAGTTGTTCTACAAGCAGTATGAAAACTGCACTGTTACTCCTAAATCTAATGTTTGACAATCGGTTGGGGAATCCTTTATTTTATTTTTTTTTTCCTGGATTTTTTTCAGTTGGGGCATCCTAATAACACCTTGAAGTTAAATTTCCCAGGGAGGCTAAGGTATGTAAATCCTCATTAGCTGGAACACACTCTCCAGTTATGGAGGACCAAACCTATCATTATTGGAAATAAATGTATAAATATATAACTGGCATATTAAAATAAATTATAGGGTCAAAAAGAAGTTTGACAAATAAATTAYTGTGCCATTAAATCAATTACATCAATTATTTAGATATAAATGTGTATTTACATTTTAATTTTGAAGGATTATATTTTCTCTATGTGCTTTATCGCATATTTTTTTGTTTATGTTTATTCATTACAAGTACATTTGTTGTAATTTGACTTTTCCAAGCCATTATTTTCTTCTTTCACATTTATCACCAATCACATATATTTAAAACATGCTTTTTCACCTAATAATATTTTATTTCTCAAATTATTTTATCGTTCTTTTTTTTCTTAAACACTGATATATTTTCTTCTATTATATACCTTTGTTGTATATTTTTACCAAACACATTTCCCTGAGCCCATTTATTTTCATCTCTTTTTTTTACATTTCTTGCTGGCTGTATTGTCTTTTCCAGCTCCACATGCAGCAGGGAATGTAAAAACAGAGGAGGCGGTCTTAAGAAAAGTGTCACCGCCCCAGCTTCTCGCCTATTGGCCGAGGTCTAGAAATTCCTTTAAACTAGACCTCGGCCAATAGGCGAGAAGCTTCTCGCCTATTGGCCGAGGTCTAGAAATTCCTTTAAACTAGACCTCGGCCAATAGGCGAGAAGCTGGGGCGGTGACACTTTTCTTAAGACCGCCTCCTCTGTTTTTACATTCCCTGCTGCATGTGGAGCTGGAAAAGACAATACAGCCAGCAAGAAATGTAAAAAAAAGAGATGAAAATAAATGGGCTCAGGGAAATGTGTTTGGTAAAAATATACAACAAAGGTATATAATAGAAGAAAATATATCAGTGTTTAAGAAAAAAAAGAACGATAAAATAATTTGAGAAATAAAATATTATTAGGTGAAAAAGCATGTTTTAAATATATGTGATTGGTGATAAATGTGAAAGAAGAAAATAATGGCTTGGAAAAGTCAAATTACAACAAATGTACTTGTAATGAATAAACAAACAAAAAATATGCGATAAAGCACATAGAGAAAATATAATCCTTCAAAATTAAAATGTAAATACACATTTATATCTAAATAATTGATGTAATTGATTTAATGGCACAGTAATTTATTTGTCAAACTTCTTTTTGACCCTATAATTTATTTTAATACGCCAGTTATATATTTATACATTTATTTCCAATTATTTCCAATAATGATAGGTTTGGTCCTCCATATCCAGTCCTTCATTTTAACGATGGAAACTACCACCATCCCATTCTGCCACTATGCAGGCATTGTCTGACTCCTCCATGCAAAACTGAGGAGATACGTCAACCATGACTGTCAAGCACGACAGCCCCCACACCTTTAGCATTTTAGGGTGAACCTCGGTCACCCCTGGCACACCACCACAGAGGAACTCTTTAACTACCTCAGTGAACTGTGCAATAATAATGGACTCATCTCCCCAGCAATGCCCCCACCAAAACCAAGCGCAGCCTTGGAAGTGGATTGCTTTCACTTTCTTAGTCACTAAACTGCTTGCCAGAACCATCTTAAAAGGGCCAATATTATGTGTTTCTCAGGCATATATTTAAATACTATACTATGATAAAGTATCTATGTCAACTTTAGTTGTTATTAAAATGCTGTTTTATGTTTAAATAGAAAATAAACTTATCTTCTCATCACTTCCTCTTCTAAAACGCCTTGAAATTAGCCTCTGTCTCTTTAAGAACCTCCTCCTCCTCCTGCTTCTGTCCCGTCACCGTCACCCGTCGGTCGGGGGTGGGGGGGACGGACTCTCGCGTGCGTGCGTGCAGGGGAGGGTTGTTTCACGCGTGCGCTATGATGCAGTTTACTTGGCATCTGAAAATACATTTTCTCAAAGGTATCTTGAATCTGAAAAGAGCTTCACTGAGTGAGAAGTAGTGGATCTCAGCAGACAGCTTAAGTTTCACTTTCACTTTTGCTCTGTTACTGCCGAGAGCCTGCAGGAGTCATGGGCGGGGGTGAGGGGTGGGGGAGGGGAGGTGTGCTCTGTGATGCGGAAGTTCGGCTTAAAGACACGTCCCAGAGGCGTTTCTGGTCCCCAAAAGGCGTTTCTGGTCCCCACTCCTCTGCATGGCTTCCTTAAAAATGCTGCAGGATTTCTCAAACATGCATRAATGAGTCAAAGCAAGGCTTTGGGCATGTTTTTTTATGAGAGTATAACATTATAACATGATATAAAACTCAAAAAAGTTGATTTTACCCTTTAAAGGCCAAACAAAAATCCTTCTTCATGGAGAGGTGATAGCCTCTCTCCCTTGGCAACTCTAAAGTAGGAAAACGTCAGCCCCTCTCAATGAGGTGGGTTCATAGCCCAGCAGAATGTAGAAGTGAGCCCAGCTAACATCTAGCTGGTATCGCTCGACCTCAAAACACAAGCACCAACTTCTAATCCAGTCAGTGAGGTGACTTTCCATGTCCATAGAGCTCAGTTATGCAGTCAGAACTTAGGTGAGCACCTGTGGGGGKTGGCATCCTGTCTCTTTTATAGGTTTAGCCCAGCTGAGCTTCAAGAGCAAGGTTAGACCACCAGGTGCTTATTGGTTACTCCCCCTCCACCAGAATTTAACCCAGGCTGCACTGGAAGTGTTCCCTCTCAATTCTGATGCCACTATTATTGCTAAAATTAATACCTGAATTCTATGGAAAATATAATAATTAAAAACTATGTAATAAAAAAATGGACAGTGGTGAAAGTTTTTATGAAACAGTGTTCATACAGTATGAACTACTATAAGCAGGGTTGCACAAAATTTTTGGTCTGGTTTTCAGGGGAGAACCTCGGGTTGTCGCTTGGTGGTCATTATTTCCTTAACTCATTTAACACATTTATTTAGAGGGGTGTCAGAGCATTTATTATCACTCTGTTCTGTTTTATGACACCTTCTATCAGCTGGCAAATGTCTCGGGACATCACGCCAAATCAGTTTTTTTATTTTATGTTTTTTTACTCTGCATACATTACGTAAACTTTAAGTGTCCAACGGGCTGACCCATGGGCATATGTCATCTCAAACTGAACATTTCATGTTTAAATGTCTGTTAGGGTGTATTCAGACCAGGAACGTCCTTTGGTCCAATTGTTTGGTCCAGACCAAAAATTGACTTTTTTTCTCATTTGGTGCGGTTTGCTTTCACATTGTGCTTTTTTGCAAACGAACTATAACTTGTAAACAAAGCCACGAGGCTGACGATCATTGCTCCCATTGGACAGAAAGGACGGGGGCGGGACTGAGCCACAGACCCAGAAGAAAACAAGGAAGTCCTGC